AGGTACCTACGTCGACGAGGTTCCCCCTCCTGGGGCGAACATCGTCGATGGCATGTGGATTTTCAGGGTGAAGCGGCCGCCAGGTTCTCCGCCTGTCTTCAAGGCTCATTACGTTGCTAGAGGCTTCAGTCAGCGTCAGGGGGTCGACTTCTTCCAGAACTTCTCCCCCACCCCGAAGATGACCACTCTTCGGGTTCTGCTGCACGTTGCTGCTCAGCGTGACTACGAGCTTCACTCTCTTGACTTCAGCACAGCGTTCCTGCAGGGCAGCCTGCACGAGGAGATCTGGCTGCGCCGCCCACCTGGCTTTACTGGGTCGTTTCCTCCTGGTACCCAGTGGAGCCTCCGCCGGCCAGTCTACGGTCTCCGCTAGGCGCCACGTGAGTGGCATGACACATCGAGGACTACACTTGCGGCTCTTGGGTTCGCGCCGTCTACTGCTGACCCGTCGCTGTTTCTGCGCACAGACACGTCGCTGCCGCCGTTCTACATTCTCGTGTACGTCGACGACTTGGTCTTTGCTACTGCTGACACTGAGGCACTCGCTCGTGTGAAGTCGGAGCTGCAGAAGAGACACACGTGCACTGACCTGGGTGAACTGCGTAGCTACCTTGGCTTGCAGATCACCCGGGACAGAGCTCGCCGCACCATCACCCTGACTCAGTCACACATGGTGCAGCAGGTCCTTCAGCGCTTCGGCTTCCAGTTCTCCTCACCACAGGCCACACCTCTGGCTACCAGCCACTCGCTCTCAGCTCCACCTTCGGACGAGTCCGTAGAGCCGAGTGGCCCATACCCAGAGCTTGTAGGCTGCCTCATGTACCTGATGACTTGCACGCGACCTGACCTCGCGTACCCTCTTAGCATCCTTGCTCGTTACGTTGCGCCTGGGAGACACAGGCGAGAGCACTGGGAGGCTGCTAAGAGGGTGCTGCGTTACTTGTGCAGTACATCAGGCATGGGGCTGGTACTTGGAGGACGCGACAGAGTTGTTCTCACTGGTCACTCGGACGCTTCTTGGGTGGACGACCTGGCTACGCAGCGGTCGTCACAGGGTTACACCTTCAGCCTTGGCTCTGGTTCTGTCTCATGGCGGTCCACCCGCTCTTCCTCTGTTCTCGGCTCTAGTTGTGAGGCTGAGATCTACGCCACAGCCATGGCTGCACAGGAGTTACGCTGGCTCACCTACCTGCTGACTGACTTGGGAGAGCGGCCTAGTTCTCCTCCAGTTCTGTACGGTGACAACAAGGCGGCTCTTGCCTTGTGTCAGGAGCACAGACTGGAGCACAGGACGAAGCACATTGCTCTTCGCTACTTTCTTGCTCGAGAGCTTCAGCAGCGCGGTCAGCTTCGACTTGTGTACGTGGACTCGAAGGCCAACACTGCTGATATCTTCACCAAGGCGCTCCCGCCTAGTGATCATCAGCGGCACTGTACTTCTTTAGGCCTTGTGTCCACGTTTCCTCACTTGCTCACTGCTTGACATTCTTTGTACTGTACTTTATATATATCTTGTTGCTTGCTTGCTAGGTTTTGATCACTGTGTTGCTTGTCTTGTACTATATCTAGCACTGCATGTGAACTGGCCTTGTGGCCTTTACTTGTGCTCGGAGTGTGGTGACGTTGTGATCCACCCTGGGCTTGCGTTGCTTTGCTGGACTGGTCTTGTGACCCTTTGTTCTCCCCCACTTTGCCTATGGGGGTGTGTTAAATTGTAATGTGTTATATGTTGGTAGGCTGTAGTGGGGTAGCCAATATGGGGTACAACCCCAACTAGGGTTTGCTACTTGTACCCAACTGTTTCATTCAATCCACCATTCTTGCCTAGTTCTTTTAACAATTACTAATTGCATGTGCCGCCAGGATCTTACGCAATCGGTTGATTGGGACTTCAATTACGATCAAAGGATTGTCTTTTATCGGCCCAAAAATCTCCTGGGCCTTCTACGAAATTGTGGATTGTCTAAGGTCATCCCGATCTAAACCAGATCATTGGGCGTGGTGCATACTGAGGCATGTGATGCTGATTGCTTTGATCTGAAACAATTCACAATTTTCGAGAAGCCCTAGGTCCATTTTGTGGCAATCGGGGACAATATCTTGATCTCATTCGAGAACCTGATTGATTGTGATCGATTGTCTCGATCGGTTGCAATTGATTAGGGCGTGGGCCCAATCGGGGTTGATCGCGAAAGATCTGATCGAGTCGGATCTGATCGGGTTGCTTGTGATCGCAATGCCCGAGCCGCCCGATCAGCGATATTTTTCGTAGAGCATTCGCGTCAGCTGCACAGCAAGCGGTGTTTAATTACACTTGCATTTTCTGCCCAAATCTAGCGAGACTTGCGAGCAGACGGAACCTGGCGAAACATTTTGTATCCCTGTAATATCGCCAATCCCACTCCGCACGTGTTGTTTTCAGCGGAATCTTCCACCATTTCGTGAGGGGCCGACGAGACCTTGTAATACAGAGTAACTGATCGCAAGCGTCGTTGTGGCCCCGATCAGTAGCGATCAATTGATCGTGGGTGATCGAGGAAAATCGACTCTGATCGGGGTGTAAATCGGGTCTGATCGAGTTGGGGCGATCAGTTGATCGCGATCAGCTGATTGCCCCTGATTGCCTAAATTTGGCTTCCAGTCTTCCTTGAAAATATTGATCGCGGCTGATCGAGGCGATCAAACTCGATTGGGCCCACGCCCTTACAATCAATTAATTGCGTTAGATAGCGGCGCCTTGCGAGACTCGCGAACTGTAACACACTCTACCAAAGTCCGCGTTTGCACGCTATGACATTGGATATCACCACATCAAAAGTGGGGCGTGGGGTAATTGGGCAACGAAGTGGGCTATGTTGTAATTGGGCAACAAAGTGGGCTATGTTGTAGTTGGGCGATACTAAACTTTATCTGGAATGGACGTGTGCCTAGCCTAGAACCCCCGTCGCTGGATCTGAGAAGTCTACGAAATTCTTTTGTCAGATCGCTCAGCGCGGGATGTGATTGGTGTCTGCGTCAGCTTGGGGCAATCCCTCTCCGATCGGATCGACGAGCCGATCCGATCGACGAACAACGCAGATGGATTTCCCTGATCTGCACCACGTCCTTAGGGTCTTCCACAGTGGATCTTTGCTCGGATGAGGGACCAAACCGTAAGTTGCAGACAACTGAGTGAGCCCCATTTCATGAAGTTGCAGCTGCGATCGCGACAAAGGCGTTCAGGTCTTTCAGTCGGGAGGGGGGGACACATTGTCATCCGTCATAATGATGCATCAATGTTCACTTTCCACGCCCCAGCACGAACGAAAGCTTGCAAATGCTTTCTCATGCGCAAACTGAAGGTGGTTTTGCAAGGAGGAACACGCCCATCTCTCGTCCGACTGGCAGAAGGGTGTGTGGATACAGTACACTGTACACCAAACGGACTGTCGGAATCCCGAACCACTGCCCTGCAGTCCCCATTCACATCCCCCATCCGCCCCGTCCCCACGAGCCTCACAAGCCTCTCGTGTCGAATGCTGGGCAAGTCCGATAAGCTCCAAACCACCCCTCGAAAACCCCTGAAATGAACTCTGTTACACCTCACCGACCCTCGCTGTACCCCTCCACCCCGCTTTCTCCCATCCCATGCTCCCTGCGGTAGCAATAGGGTCGTGCAATGAAATGCAAGGTATGCTTCGTGAATTACCCTTCGAAACGGTTTCTCCGTTCACCCAGACGGCCACCGTCAAGCAATCCCCCCCACCCCCCCCCGCGCCCTCCCCCCCCCCTCTCTCCCCTCCCCCCACCCCCCCTGCCCTTCTGTTCCTCCCTGCCCTACTGCAATGACCTGATCCTGACTGAACACGAAAGCCGAACATCGACAAGGCACGGCACACCCACACGACTTTTTTGCAAAAGGATGCGATGGGATCATGCGCTTTGATGGGATCGGATACGCCTAGCCCGCGCTATTTTCACGCCCTGCAACTTGTTTCGGCAAGCACCCTGAACCCGATTTTGGCTTTTACCAGTAAACTCCCAGAATTTGAAGGCTACAAACTACTCAGCCAAGTGTCGAGATATTAAAAAAAAACCGCACTCTTACCACGGCGACTCGACCATAGTTTATTGTGACCCGTTTTTCATCCCCTCTAACTCGTCGGAGTTGTCTGAAACGTACCCTCTTTAAAACGAAAGCATTCAAAACAGCCTTTTAATATCGGGTAAATCAGAAAAAAATACACAGGGGGGTGAAAATGGCCCTAGTGAATTTGGCGCGGGCTAGGTGTACATGCGATACACGCGGCAGTCCCCGTTACTGCTTGCAAGGACAGCCAGACTCAGCACTGCTGCAACTATAGCAAGTGTGCTGACTGAAGTCAGCCGGTTTTTTTACAAGCACCGCGTAAAGCAACAGACTACTGTACGGTGCATGATGTGACGGAAAATGCAAAACCCTACCCCATGCTTTGTGGTAAATATCTTCTCTAGCTCCCGTGGTACACCTTGGAAAGAAAAATACGTTTTGTTGTAAAAGTGCAGTTTTGTTAGTACCAATTGCAACGGTTTTGGTGCCTATACTCCTGCAATGTAATTGTGATGTAAACATCCAAAGAAAATCAATAACTCGTTGTTTCTTATTTTGCAGTATCTCAGTTCATTACGGTACCTTAGGACATGGGAGCAACTTCTGTGTAGAATGGGCAGCGGCCTATATGTGTAAGGTGTCACAACAATGCATGGTTGGTGTGTGACGGTGGGTTGTGGAGAGTGTATTCGGCAAGAAACTTTTTCACATCAACTGCTTCAGCAGCAGGCGCATATTTGTCCTTTTATTCTGCGTGTACACTGCATTCTCACCCTCTCATAGAAATCACCACCGCGCCTGTCATAATGAATCCCCTCTCTGACCTTGACAATGTTGCAAAAGGCTTGTCTCATGGGAAACCCAATCTCCGGGATGGCTTCACCTAAGGAAGCCCCAACAAAGTCTTCGGCGCATGAGATTCGCCGTCGCATCAGGAGAATTTGTGGAACTACGGGGAAACAAGTGGGGGGGCGGGTGGTAAGGGGGGGAGGGGGAAAGGAAGGGTGAGGAGAAGAGCGAGGGAATGACGAGGAGAGAGAGGGAGGAAACTGTGAGGGAGAGTGAGGGAAGAGATGGTCGAGGAGCATGAGGGGAGAGAATGGAAGGAGTGGTGGGGGAGAGTGAGAAGGGAGACTGAGTGAGGCAGGAGAGTGAGCAGGAAAATGAACATGAGAGTGAACTAGAAAAGTGAGGGGAAAGAGGAAGAAATGACTGGGAAGGCGGGAGGAGGGTGAGGGAAGAGAGGGATTAGGAGCCAGGTGGTGAGGAGAAGGAGGAGGGACAGGGGGAGAACGTGAAACAAAGTATCATCATCTGTTGTTCCAGTGCTATTCACGAAAGGCACAAAGTTCGCTGTGATGTTGAGAGTATGCGAGTGAACTTGCATTAAAAATTTCCAAGAGAGAGAAAGAGAGAGGGGAATAAAAAAGGTGCAAACCAGAGATAAATTGTGTTACTGTCAACAGAGCACACAAGACGCAGCCATCACGCTAGGGAGAGCCAAGAGCGCTGGAGAGCTCAGGAGGACGGCCAGGAGGGCTAGGAGGGCTAGGATTCGTGTTTTGAGTCAAGCCAACAGAACGTACAAGATGCAGCAACCACCCTAAGGAGAGCCGGGATCGCCAGGAGCGCTGGGAAACTCGGTACGGCCGGGAGGGCTGGGAGGGCCAGGAGGGCCGCGTGTGAAGAGCTGCGTGATGGCATCGAAAGCAGACACCTCCCATGCCTCCACGTGCGACACTACCTGCAGCGGTGGGGGAGAATTGGAGGGGAGGTGGAGGAGTGGGGGGGGGGGTGTGGAAGAGTTGGGAGGGATGGGAGGGTTGGGAGACCGACAGGGCCAGGAGAACAGGAGGGGTTGGGAGAGCTGGGAGGTTTGGGAGGGCTGGGAAGGCCGGGAGGGGACGGGGGGCGGGGTCTGAAAAGCTGCATGATGGCTCGGTAGGCAGACACCTCCCATGCCTCCACGTGCGACACTACCTGCAGCGGTGGAGGAGAGGTGGGCAAGAGGTGGGCGAGAGGAGGAGGAGAGGCAAAAGAGAGGGTAATTGCATTGACTCGTGACTCTTCCGATGCCTCTGCGCGTGACAACTTTTGAGACGTCTCAAAAGTTCTCTACGCGTGACACAAGCTGCAGAGGCAGAGTACAGGCGGATTACTTTTGAGTCGACTCAAAAATGACTTGCAGTGGCGGACTATAGGCGGACTATAGGCGGACTATAGGCGGACTATAGGCGGACTATAGGCGGACTATAGGCGGACTATAGGCGGGCTATAGGCGGGCTATAGGCGGGCTATAGGCGGACTATAGGCGGACTATAGGCGGACTATAGGCGGAGTATAGGCGGACTACCGCCTGGCCTGGCCTGGCCTGGCCTCGACGCACCTTGGTGCCAGCAGCATTGAGTGTGTGTACTGTGGACCCTCTGACATCCACCACTGGCCGCCATGGCAGGTTGATGGGCGTGCTGGGAGGGAGGGGAAGAGAGGAAGAGGGGGCGTAGGCGGAGAGGGAAGGTATTTGCAAAATGCGAGTGGTGGGTGGGTGGGTGGATGGATGGATGGATGGATGGATGGAAGGATGGATGGATGGATGGATGGATGGATGGATGGATGGATGGATGGATGGATGGATGGATGGATGGATGGATGGATGGATGGATGGATGGATGGATGGATGGATGGATGGATGGATGGATGGATGGATGGATGGATGGATGGATGGATGGATGGATGGATGGATGGATGGATGGATGGATGGATGGATGGATGGATGGATGGATGGAGAAATGGTGCCCTTTTATCCCCCTTCCCAGGCATGCTGCAGTGCAGACCCACAGAATCTTGTCTGTATCGCTACCGACAAGTCTCAACAAGTACCGAAAGCTATGCAACCCCCACGTTGCCACATCGCCCATATCCCCCATTTCCGCCATGGCTTACAGCAGGCGCCATCGGGTCTCCAGGCGAGCTGCGGACGAGGGTGTTGCGGGGAAAACCTGCAGGTGGGTGGCATGGAGGACCGCAAATGGTGTTTGGTCCATACGGGGGATTACAGCTTACAGCACGCACCGAATGATCTCCAGGCGAGCTGCGGACGAGGGTGTTGCGGGATAGACCTGCAGGTGGGTGGGGGGCGTGGAGGGCCAGGTATGGTGTTCGGTCCACAAAGGGGAATAGGGTTGCCTTTCTGAGACGTCTCAAAGGTTGCTGCAGATCAGACGAGGGTGTTGCGGGAAAGACCTGAAGGTGGGGGACATGGAGGGCCAGGAATGCTGTTTGGTCCGGACGGGAGAACAGGGTTGGAGCAGCAGGACAACAGGTGAAGAAAGAGGTTTCCTGCTTTCGTTCCTCTCTCCTCCTCTCCTCTCCTACTCTTTCCTACACTCTCCCACTCTCTCCTACTCACTCCTACTCACTCCCACTCTCTCCTCTCCTACTCTCTCCTCTCCTACTCTCTCCTACTTCCTCCTGCACTTCCCTGCTCTCTCATTATCCTACTACCATTCTCTCTCCTGTTCACATGCACGCATGCTCTCTCCTCCTCCCCCTCACACCTGCAGGTAGATGGTGGAAGAGGAGAAGAATGGAGTGAACTGGGCAATGTTGCGTTGCCAGAAATCAAGGCCCGGGTATTGCAGCGTGCTTCCATGCTCTCTCCTGTCTTTTATTCCTTCTCTCGTGCTCTCCCCTCCACTCATTCTCTCCCCTTCACTCATTCTCTCTTGCCCTCCCCTCCACCCCTTCACTCTCCTCCACTAGTTCTCTCGTAATCTCTCCTCTCATTCTCTCTTGCTCTATCCTCCTCTCCTGCTCGCAAGCTCACTTCTGCTATCATGCGCTCTCCTCCCTCCCCCTCGCACTTGCAGGTCGGAGCAGCGCGATGAGCGCGATGTTGGTCAATAGTCGGAGCGGAGAAGAACCGAGTGAACAGAGCGATGCTGCGCTGCCAGCGTTGGAGGCCCGAGAACCGAATCGTGGGGTCAGCAGAGCAATGTTCTTGCTCTCATTCTCACCTGCTCTCATGCTCCCACGCCCTCTCATGCTCCCACGCACTTGCAGGTCGTGCAGGTCAATAGTCGGAGCGGAGAAGAAGCGAGTGAGCAGTGCAATGTTGCGCTGCCAGCGATCAAGGCCCGAGAACCGAATCGTGGGGTCGGCAAAGAGGCACTGGGAGTCGTAGAACTGAGAAGAGATGTTGCCTGGTGGGGGGACGGGGGAAGGGGCGAATGGGAGCACGGGCGGGAGCACGGGTGGAACGCATGAGGAGTCACAGCACGTGGATTGGCAAAGAGGCACTCGGCGTCGTAGAACCGCATAGAGATGTCTCCTGTGCGTAGGAGGCACAGGCTCGGCAGAGCACAGGCTCGGCAGAGCACAGGCTCGGCAGAGCACAGGCTCGGCAGAGCACAGGCTCGGCAGAGCACAGGCTCGAGAGAGCACAGGCTCGAGAGAGCACAGGCTCGAGAGAGCACAGGCTCGAGACAGCATCTTTGAAACTAGAGTGAGAGTGATGGCGCATTGATAACGGGTTGATAACAGGTTGAGGACAATGGGTTTGTGCCGTTCGTGCCTGTAACAAAATACGCTCGCTGCTCGTAGTCCTCTCGAATGGCCTCCACTAGTTCCGGCAGCACCCCAGTGATCGACCCCTCCGCACTTGCTGCCTCACTGCTCCGCGTGGCTGCATTCTCAGCAGTCGCAGCAGTGGCATTACTACTAGTAGAACCGGTGCTGCTCCTGCTGCTGCTGCTGCTGCTGCTGCTGCTGCTGCTGCTGCTGCTGCTGCTAGGTTCTTGTGCTTGTGGGTCGGTTACGGGGTATGTCTGGATAGTAAGGTAGCAAGACGAGAAGCGGAACGAGAAACAGGAGCAGAGAAGAAGGAGCAGCGCAGCACAGCACAGCACAACACAGCACAGCACGCAACCAGAGATGCATGGTTACTCGAGCCATCAACAGGGCGACTGAACGGACCGTACACCGTATCCAAACTTGCCACCCTAGCCCCAACCCTCCGCCCAAATCAACAATCCCGCTCCACCCCAACACACCATCCAATCCACCCCATCCAACCCCACCCCACCCCACCCACACCACACCCAAGCTGTGTATCGCCCCCTCTTCCCAACCTCTCACCCGCGGTGTGAATAGGTCGAGAGCGGCAGTCGCGGCGCCCACCAGCACCCGGAGCGCCCACGGAGTCGCGTCGCTCTGCGTGGTCGTGGTTCCGCCGCCACCGCCGCCGCCGCCGCCGCCGCTGCTGCTGCCGTTGCTGTTGAATCTGCTAGAATGCTTCCTGCTCCCATTCTCATTCTCATTCTCATTCTCCTTCTCCTTCTCCTTCTCCTTCTCCTTCTCCTTCTCCTTCTCCTTCTCATTCTCATTCTCATTCTCATTCTCATTCTCATTCTCATTCTCATTCTCATTCTCATTCTCATTCTCATTCTCATTCTCATTCTCATTCTCATTCTCATTCTCATTCTCATTCTCCTTCTCCTTCTCCTCCTCGTTCTCAATTCCGTTGCCTCCCGAGCCAGCCTGGGCACGACTGGTTCTGGCGATGCGTATCGCGCCACCAAAAGCGCGCCGATAAACCGTGCTTCTAGACCCGGTAACCAGCCGAACGACGTCTCTAGAAGACGACGGCGGACCGTTAGCTTGACGGCGTAGTTGGGGAAACGACCTCTCAACGGTCTGCTGACCAGCTAGCAGGTCATTCGAGCGGAGTAAAGACACGCCAGTGCACGCGCTATTAGAGCATATAGACTGGTGATTCACATTCTGCCTATGACGCCGTGCGACATCGCCTGGAAACACGACACGTGGCAACGCCGGCAGCGCGAACATCTCCAGCTGCTGTGTGAGAAATGCCAAATTAGCAGCGGAAAAAATAGGGTAAGTAGCTTTGGCAGGGGTACTACTAGCGACCCTGCGCTTCGAAGGGGACTACAGTGCCAGGAGCGGGCACTTTCTACCTCTCCGTGCCTCAGACAGGAAAGTTATGGAAACAAGACAGTAATCGAGCCCACATTCACCCACGTGTCACCAATTTCCATGCCAATTACTGTACAGAACAACCTGACTAACTGTGCGCAACTGAATTTTGTCCCATCTGCCAAATCGAATCCACACTCTGGGCGGCTCGGCTGCCACACTGTTTCGAAATCTGCTAGGCTACAGTGTCGCGCCCAAAATTTCGAAACGCAGGCCAGCAAGGCAGACGGAAACGGAGTGGCACTCCGTCAGGTTTTTCGTGTCACTGTTTCAGTCAGGGATTTCAGACGCACATTACGGAAACGGAGTGGCAGACGGAAACGGAGTACCACTCCGTCAGGTCTTCGTCTCAAGTTACGTTGGCTCCTTCTGAGATTAGGGTTTGCGACAAGTCACAATGTAAAACTTCGTGTTAAGTTAACGCATACTAGGTTCCCGCTAGCAATCTAAAACCAGAGTAGGCGCCATGTGTTTTTCACGAATTTGTGGCTCTACCATATCCAGCAGTAGGAGCATCACATTCTCTCGGATAATGTTTTAGGGGCTAGCAATCCAGGATATGCGTTCTGGTTCGTTTGATATATGCACCCTTCATTTATCTTCTCCGATCCTTGGGGTCGATGGTAAGTTGACTTAGTTCCGATCCTAGGCGACTAGCATAATCTGATTTTGCCCTAGGACTTTCCTTCCGTATGATAAGGGCTCATTGCATTGGTCTGTACACAATGCTAAGCTTCAGTCACCCCACACATTGTGTTTCATCCACATTTTTGAAGCGATGCTTTTGAATATAATCCACTCTTTTCTTATCTATCCTCCACATGTCTCTAATCTTCCTTTTTCAGACTTTCATCATTCGCAAACTATTGTGTAGACAGAGACAATGTGTGCACAATGTTCAGGAGTTCTCTTTCAAGGTGATCTCACTGATTGACATATGCAATGTATGGGATATGTCTTGTTGCAGCACGTTCCTTGTTGGGGTTGCATCAAATTACTGACATATGATTCCATTACCTCTGCAATTATGTGTTCTTTAAACAGGGCATTTCTTGGACAAAAAACAGAGGAGATCCACATTTACCAAGGGAAAATCTATTCATCCGTAAGCGCTGCTAGAGATGAGATAGAGAAATATGGCAATAAGTTCAACTTCAAGCCGTGGTATTACGACAACAGGCCAGAACGCCTTGACGTTCGTTGCCCTTCTATGAAAGGAAAAGACTGGCCCAAGAATGAGGCCAAAGCACCAGAGGGGTTTTGTCCGTTTCGGATTGTAGCTTCCGGGCCTCGAAATTGCAGCTTTAGTGTGAGATCTGTGACGCTGCAGCATGCACACACGTGTGTGCCACGCCCTGGTCGGATTAGGAGGGAACAGGTTAAGCAAGTGGTGCGTGAATTACGTCCTCATACAGTCATTAGACCTATTGGACTACGACAGATGGTGCGGGAAAAGTTAGGCATCGACTGCTGCAATGCTACGTGTGGCCGGTCAATAGATGATGTCACTCGAGAGGATTATCTAGGTGGAGAGTCAGGTTTCCAGTACATTGGTAGCATCTTAGATGTTTTCCAGCGGAAAACCCATCAAGCGTTGTGTCACTGATGCTTGATGAGAATAGGTTCCACCGTGCTGCAGTGATTTACCCTGGCGTCCGTGATCGTGTTTGTAGATGGATGTCACAACAAAGGTACATGGCGAGGCCATACTCTGAATGCATGCATGATTGACTGCGAACATAAGCTGGTGAGGTTAGGGAGTGCGTGGGTAGAAGGAGAACAGTGGATTCGTGTGAGTATTTTTTGAGCCAGCTCAAAGTAGCTGCCCCTGAGATCAACACTCCGAGGTTTACATTGATGCATGATCGCGGGAAAGCATGGAAAGCGGCTGCTGCCAGAGTGCTGCCAAAGGCGCGTGAGGCATTTTGCATCACACACTTGGTGAGGAACTTTAATTCAAAGTTTGGTTCAGACTGTGATGGCAAGATCGAGCTCGCGTCTGCAGCATTGACCAGAGATGTGCTGCGGGGGTACATGGACCAAATCGAGGAAGAGTGCCCTGGGGGGAAGCAATACTTGGAGAGGGATGGATTAGCCGCACATTGGGCTACCTTTTTCTTTAATGCGCCCCGGTTTGGGTGCTATACTTCAAACCCGGTGGAGTCGCATCATGCCTCTATGCATAAGTGGAGGAGGGACAATCCAGCCCAAGTTTTGCATTCATAACACAGCAAGCGAATGCAATGGAAGAGGGTCGTGAGCTGTATGGGACTCTTGGGGTAGCTGATCTCCCCCCCAAAACAGCAGCTATCATTCGTGCTAATTGTCAGATGGGGACTCAGTATAAGGTGGAGAAGACTGGCAGAAGTTCATACCATGTGAGCGGTGACACTGGAGCCAAGGAGGAGCGTGTGGTGGTGATGGAGGCAGCGGATCCAGAGAAGGCGCAATGCACGTGTAATTATTCGAAGTGAGTTACTTGCTTAGGCTAATTTTGTAAGTACTTGTGGGAAACATTATGCACCTGGTGTTTGGGTTGTCATTATATGCATTACCTTTTTGCTCCTCTTACCTTCTCTTGATGTTTGTAATCTGATGGATCCTGACATTCGTTTCACACCCATTTGATTTTCCCGTACACTTGCAGAGAGTATGGGCTGCCTTGTATGCACATGTTTGCAGTATTGCTCCACAACATCCGGCCGGCGCGTGGCAACGAGTTTGCGGATGTCTAACAGGTGGTTCAAGGCATGATACACAGGTGTTACACTTCCAATGCCTTGAAGGAGCTCTACAGCACGGAGATTCGCACTCTGGACCGCACAGAGATAGTTCCAGACAAAACAGTTGAGCCACCAGTGTACCCAAAGAAGTCGGGAAGGCCACGCATCAATCGGCTGAGGTCCCATGGTGAGATTGATGGCAGGAAGCTGCGTAGATGTGGGAAGTGTGGGGAGAAAGGGCACAATAGACAGACTTGTGATTTGCGCAAACAATTTAGAGACGCATGGGAGGCACTTCACACTCTGGAAGGGCACATGAGTGTGCAAACAGCTACGCAAGCAGAGGCTCGAGTGAATGTGGCGCTGTGTAGTGCATGCAATAGAAGTCACCACAGGGATGTACTGTGCGAGCCTAGGAGGCAACATCGTGAACATGGACAACCACCGAATGGTGGGGGGGTGATGGACGGCAACGCGACTCACGCGGCGGATGGGGAGAATGGAGGTGTTGAAGTATCAGACGAGGAGGAGGACGGCAGTTCAGAGTCGGAGGGGGAGAGAGAAGAGCAGCCAATGGAAGCGGGTGCTGATGTCCAACAGGCAGTCCCATCTGTATTGCGTGAAGTATTTGGCAATGCATTTAACGGACTCAATCATTCAAGAAACAACGAAAACATGCGCGGGGGGTGTGGGGTTATCAAATCCAACAACAGCTGAGAGTGGGGGAGTGGGGGAGAGGGGAGGAGCATCCGAGAGTGATGGTTTGTGGGAGCGGGGAGGAGCAACCGAGAGCGGGGCGGGGAGGGGAGGAGAGGAGAGCGGGGCAGGGAGGGGAGGAGCAGCCGAGAGCGGGGCAGGGAGGGGAGGAGAGGAGAGCGGGGCAGGGAGGGGAGGAGCAGCCGAGAGCGGGGCGGGGAGGGGAGGAACAGCCGAGAGCGGGGCGGGGAGGGGAGGAACAGCTGATAGTGGGGAAGGGAGGGGAGGAGCAGCAGGGAGCGGGGTGGGTAGGGGAGGAGCAGCAGGGAGCCATGGGGGGAGGGGAGGAGCAGCAGGGAGCGGGGCGGGTAGGGGAGGGGCAACAGGGAGTGGGGCGGGGAGGGGAGGAGAAGAGAGCGGGGCGGGGAGGGGAGGAGCAGTCGAGAGTGGAGCGGGGAGGGGAGGAGCAGCAGGGAGCGGGGCGGGGAGGGGAGGAGCAGCTGATAGTGGGGAAGGGGGGGGAGGAGCAGCAGGGAGCGGGGCGGGTTTGGGAGGAGGAGCAGGGAGCCGTGGGGGGAGGGGAGGAGCAGCAGGGAGCGGGGCGGGGAGGGGAGGAGCAGCTGATAGTGGGGAAGGGGGGGGAGGAGCAGCAGGGAGCGGGGCGGGTTTGGGAGGAGGAGCAGGGAGCCGTGGGGGGAGGGGAGGAGCAGCAGGGAGCAGGACGGGTAGGGGAGGAGCAGCAGGGAGCCGGGGGGGGAGGGGAGGAGCAGCAGGGAGGCGGGCGGAGAGGGGAGGAGCAGCAGGGAGCGGGGTGGAAAGGGGAGGAGCAGCAGGGAGCGAGGTGGAGAGGGGAGGAGAAGCCGAGATCGGGGCAGGGAGGGGAGGAGCAGCAGGGAGCGGGGCGGGGAGGGGAGGAGCAGCAGGGAGCGGGGTGGAGAGGGGAGGAGCAGCAGGGAGCGGGGGGGGTAGGGGAGGAGCAGCAGGGAGCGGGGGGGGGAGGGGAGGAGTAGCAGGGAGTGGGGAGGGGAGGGGAGGAGCAGTTAGAGGGGCGAGAATGGCAGGAGCAACAGGGAGCAGGGCGGGGAGGCGAGGAGCAGTGGGGAGCGGGGCAGGGAGGGGAGAGACAGCTGGCAGTGGGGTAGGGAGGGGAGCAGCAGGGAGTGGGGCGGGTAGGGGAGGTGCAGTAGGGAGCGGTGGAGTGGTGGGTGAGATGCGAATTGACCACAACAATCTTACACCTGGTGACGCCTCGCAAAACAATGGTGACATTGTGGTTCGTTTTAGACTGAGGCGGATGCAACACGTTCGTCAGCAAAGACAAGTGGCACCTGAACCGAGAAATAGGGAGCAGAGGCCAGCTGCTGTGGTGGAGGAAGGAACAGGGGCGGACTCAGAGGCAACAGGCCATACAAACCACACCCCAGTACCTGATACACAAGAGTCAATCGTTGTGGATAACCCAGCGGACCACAGCGGGGAAATGCGGGATGAACAACAGCATGTGAAGTTGGGGCAGAAGCGACGCCGCCAGTTGAGAAGGTTGCAGATGCAGCAACGACATCAGAGACGGAAACAGCTGCAGGGTGTGACTCAGCAGGGACTGCAAGAGCAGCAGCAGCAGCAGCAGCAGCAGCAGGGACAGCAGGAGCGGCAGGGACAGCAGGAGCGGCAGGGACAGCAGCAGCGGCAGGGACAGCAGGAGCGGCAGGGACAGCAGCAGCGGCAGGGACAGCAGGAGCGGCAGAGACAGCAACAACAGCAGCAGCAGCAGGGACAGCAGGAGCGGCAGGGACAGCAGGAGCGGCAGGGACAGCAGGAGCGGCAGGGACAGCAGCAGGGACAGCAGCAGCAGCAGGGACAGCAGGAGCGGCAGGGACAGCAGGAGCGGCAGGGACAGCAGCAGCGGCAGGGACAGCAGGAGCGGCAGAGACAGCAACAACAGCAGCAGCAGCAGGGACAGCAGGAGCGGCAGGGACAGCAGGAGCGGCAGGGACAGCAGGAGCGGCAGGGACAGCAGGAGCGGCAGGGACAGCAGCAACAGCTGCAGCAGCAGGGACAGCAGGAGCGGCAAGGACAGCAGCAGCAGCAGGGACAGCAGCAGCAGCAAGGACAGCAGCAACAGCAGGGACAGCAGGAGCAGCAGCAGCAGCAGCAGCAGGGGCAGCAGATGCTGCTGCTCCTGCAGCAGTTGCTGCAGAATGTGCAGCAGGGAGGGCAGCAGCAGCAGCAGGGAGAGCTGCATGAGATTGGCCAGCCACAACAGCAGCATGGTGTTGGCCTACTTCTGGAGCAACTGCTGCAGGGGTTGCGACAACAAGCCCAAGACCAAAACCACCAACAGTGGCCGCAATCTCAGCAGCAGCAGCAAGAGCGACACGAGCATCTGTAACACAGTCATAAACAACAGAATGATTGCAGCAGCAATGACAGGAGCAGCAGAAGACAGTGCTACGAATGCATCAGCAATAGCAGCAGCAACAGACAGGGTTGTGGCTGCAATCCTCTTCGCTGCAGCAACAATAGTGAACCTTGTGAAACCAGAATATGACCTAGAATCATCGTCGACACATCACAACGTATGAGACAAAGCCTTGTCGAGCATCTCCCACTCCCTGCCACCACTCCCTGCTCTCCCTCCATGCTTTCGGTACCTGCTACAACAACCCTGGTCCCACTCCCTGAAGTGATCCTGTACTGAATGAGTGTCATGAATTTATATAAATTATTAAACAATGGAAACTTTGTGGTATGTTCTTCCAGATTAAATGTAGTGGTATTTGTTCATGGATGCAAGTCGTCACTCTAATGTGTAACTCTGAAAAGCACAATGATTTTAGAATGAAGCATTGTTGTGTCACATCAGAAATATATCACACACCACCACCTAGTAGCAAGCACACCACCCTATTCTTACCCACAACTACGCATTCGTTGTTCGACAGAGGGGATCACACCTTTGCATTCTGGTTGCTAAGTTGTTTGTAGCTTCTTATGGTGCTAATTTTGGTCTTTTGTTATGGTGTAGAAGGCGTGGAATTTGAATAACGAACGGTCACTAAACTACTAAGCGAAGGAGAAGGGGAAAGAGAAGGTGAAGGAGAATGGGAAGGAGAATGCGAAGGAGAAGGCGAAGGAGAAGGGGAAGGAGAAGGCGAAGGAGAATGGGAAGGTGAATAGGAAGGAGAAGGCATGGAATTTGAATAACAAACGGTCAGGAAACTACTAAGAGAAGGAGAAGGGGAAAGAGAAGGGATGGAGAATGGGAAGGAGCAGGCGAAGGAGAAGGCGAAGGAGAAGGGGATGGAGAAGGAGAAGGAGAATGGGAAGGAGAAAAGGAAGGAGAAGGCATGGAATTTGAATAACAAACGGTCACTAAACTACTAAGAGGAGGAGAAGGGGAAAGAGAAGGGAAGGAGAATGGAAGGAGAAGGGAAGGAAAGGGGAAGGAGAAGGGTAAGAGAAGGGGAAGGAGAAAGAAGGCAAGGGGAATGTGACTGAGAAGGGAAGGAGAAGAGGAAGGAGTATGCATGGAATTTGAATAACACCCGTCCGAAAAGAACTACTCAGTGTGAGAAGGGCAGTTAAAGGGGAAGTGAGAAGGCAAGGAGAAGGAAGGGACTGTCAACGCCTGGACACCGTGCTGGCAGCCTTAGGGTTTAGAATTTAGTTGCCATAGATGTAATGGGTGGGATGTGGCTTGCATGATGGCAACAGACCTGCCAATGCTAAAGGTGGTAACTGCATGTGTATGAAGGTTGCAGTACCATGATTGCTTGCATATCTAGGGAAGACTGCTACCTAGTACCTAAACCTCTATGCTTGTACCTTTCTGAGCCGTTCAATGACTTGCTTGAAGGAGGAGATTAAAGGGGAGAGGGAGAGAGAAGAGAGAGAGAGAGAGAGAGAGAGAGAGAGAGAGAGAGAGAGAGAGAGAACGAGAGAGAGGGGGGGGGGGAGGGAGAGAGAAGGGGGAACGTGGGAGGGAGGCAAGACGAGTGAAGATAAGAGAGAGAGAGAGAGAGGAGAGAGCGCTCTCTCTAGATCGGCGCTATCGCGAGAGCTAGAGCGCTAGAGGCGAGCACGAGAGCGCGCTAGAGAGCTAGAGAGAGATTGAAAGAGAGCGAGAGAGCGAGAGAGAGAGAGAGAGGGGTTGAAAGTGAGCGAGAGAATTGCCGTACATGTCACTCTCAGATGTTTACTCTGGTTTTTTTATATTTTCCCCCCCCGTATCTTGATACCAATAGCCCCATGTATGTGTTTATGTGGCGTTGTCAAGTTTTGAGATGGATCGCAATTGATTTGCATAGGTAATCAGTCGTCTGTGCGCAGAACGTGTCAAATATGTTTATGGTTAGCCACTCACCCCACTCTCAGCTGTATAATGCCCTCTTTGATTTATATTCAACAGTCCAACTATGTGTCTAGGTGACGCTGTCCAGTTTCGAGATGAGTCGTAGTTAATTTGAACACGTAATCAATCGTCCATGCGTAGAACATGTCAAATCTGTTCAAGGTTAGCCATGCATCCACTCTGAGCTGTATAGAGCGTGTTTTAATTCTTTACAACCGCTTCTTTATACCAATCGATCCTACTATGTGTCTAGGTGAGGTTGTCCGGTTTTGAGATGAAGCGCAATTGATTTGCATTGGTAATCAATTCTTAGTATGCATAATGGGTCTGAACCTGTGCAATAATAGCTTTTCACATCACAATCAGGTGCTTAGTGTCCTTGTTGTTGTATTTACTCCCGTTTATTAATGCCAGTAGCCCCTAATATGTATCTAGGTGAGGCTGTACGGTTTTTTGTTCTCCAATCGCAATTGATTTGCATTAAAAATCAAGTGTCCTTGCGCAGTGTGAGACAAATGTGTTCAAGGATAGCCCCCAATATAACTCTTAGCTGAATAGTATCACTTGTGATTTTTTGTACTCCCGTTCTTAATACCAAAAACCCCTACTCTGTATCTAGGTGATGCTGCTTGGTTTTCAGATCAATCGCAAGTGATTAGCACAGATAAACAAGCGTCCATGGACACGACGTACTCATATATCGACTCGGTTAAGTTGCTTGATAAAGTCACGATTTTGAATTCAGACACGTACTACCATATGCTTTAGTACGAGTATGCATTAAGAAGATTGAGGACACACTACTAAACCCGAGACCCTCATTTCCTATTACAATATTCAAATTCATTTAAATGAATCTACCATTTATCCAATCTGAGACTTGTATTTTAATCGCCCACGTACTAAATCGCGTATCTGTAATCCGCGTCTGAAATCCCTGACTGAATCAGTGACACGAAAAACCTGACGGAGTGCCACTCCGTTTCCGTCTGCCTTGCTGGCCTGCGTTTCAAAATTTTGGGCGCGACACTGTAGCCTAGCAGATTTCGAAACAGTGTGGCAGCCGAGCCACCCAGAGTGTGGATTCGATTTGGCAGATGGGACAAAATTCAGTTGCGCACAGTTAGTCAGGTTGTTCTGTACAGTAATTGGCATGGAAATTGGTGACACGTGGGTGAATGTGGGCTCGATTACTGTCTTGTTTCCATAACTTTCCTGTCTGAGGCACGTAGAGGTAGAAAGTGCCCGCTCCTGGCACTGTAGTCCCCTTCGAAGCGCAGGGTCGCTAGTAGTACCCCTGCCAAAGCTACTTACCCGAAAAAATACGTAATGCTGGTATTTGCTATTTGCTCATTACACGGAACTCCTTAATCTTCGTACGTGTACAGCAAACGGAACTGAAAATTGTAACGCGAATGACCTAAATTCGCTGTGGTGAAGCACTTTCGGCACGCGTCGACGATTTTCAAAGGTTGGGGAAGATCGAGCGGTGGAGCCTTTTTTTTTTTTTGGTGGATATAAGTACACTACCGTATACATACATCCGCAATCGTAACTGTTGCTAGGAGGGCATGAGAAGGTCACAAGTAACCTAACCCCCCTTATCCGTTTACGGAGGCCGGAAGGCTGCCCCACCGTCTTCCCAGATCGCTTTGAAAC